AAAGTGTTTATAATATCAGATACTTTACAACAGGACAAGAGGTGCCGCTTTGCGGTCACGCGACTGTCGGCACCACATATGCCTTATACGCCGAGCAGACGACCGCCGGTCGTATCAAACAATTCAATTTCACAACAAAGTCGGGCAGAAAACTGACCGCTAATGTAAGCGACGATAGTTTGGTCACACTTTCGATGCCATCCATACTCTCAACACGAGTCCATTTGAACGATCGCTGGACTCAAACGCTAATCAAAAAACGACAAAGTCGGGCAGAAAACTGACCGCTAATGTAAGCGACGATAGTTTGGTCACACTTTCGATGCCATCCATACTCTCAACACGAGTCCATTTGAACGATCGCTGGACTCAAACGCTAATCAAAACTTTGGGCAAAGATGTCGACGAAAGCCTTGTCGACGAAGTCTGCAAATCATCAGACTTTGCGATAATTGTGTTCAAAGATTCGGCGAACAATCGTTTACTGGAATTAAAGCCAGATTTCGATGCCATGAATAGCCTGGAGAGGAATGGCATCAAAAACGGTATAGTAGTCACGCAGAGAGCCGACTACCGGAGCACTGGTTTTCACTTTTATTCGCGTGTATTCTTGCCGTGGGTTGGACTGAATGAAGACCTGGTGTGCGGACACGCGCACACTCAGCTCACACCCTATTGGGCCCAACGACTGGCCATCACTGGGCAAACATTGGTAGGCAAACAATGTTCCCGACGGCCAGGTATTGTCCGGTGCCGTATAAATGGAGATTCTGTCGATATAAGCGGCAATGCAGTGATTGTACTGAAGGGCACTTTAATCTTATAGTTAAATGTATAACTTGTTACATTTTTCAAATAATAAATTATGATTTATCAGATCATGTATAAACATTCAAAATGTAATTAAAGCATAAATTAACAAATTGAAGTGGAGAGAGAGAGAGAGATCGGTCTTCACTGAAAAGACAATTAGAGAAACTTTCGATAAGAATTTGTTAATAATATTACTTATAAATAGTTTTCACATTTATTGTAAACATACTATTGTTTCATTAAATTTAAATTAAAGCATAATTTAACAAATTAAAGTAGAGAGAGAGAGAGAGATTAAAAGAAAAGATGAGAGTAAATAAACACAACGAGTATAGCGATGACATTCATTGACCAAAAAACAATGGGACGAAAACCACTGTTAAACGTGGGTCGCTTGCAATCGCTGGTACTGCTATACCACTCAATCAGATTCGTACGATTCCAGCGGTCGGTCGGCTTCAGAGGGCTGTATTCATTCAATTTTTGACACAAATTACAGAAATACTCGTAACGAAAGGATTTTGAACAATAACTCTTCTTCCACAACATATACGAGTTATACAATTGCTTATCACTTGAGACCAGTTTCAGATATTTGGCCAAATCCTCAGTAGTGTTAAAGTCTTTCACATTTATGAACGAATTGTTTGGCATTATTAGCGAATAGTCGGCCGAACCGTACACTACCTGTCAATCAAATCAGTTGAACAAACAATTAATGACAATACATAACCAAAACCATAATTAACTCACAGGTATTATATCATATGAAGCGTATTTAAACAACTTTTCCGTCACATAGTCTTTACATAACTGTTAAACAAAATATAAAATTATCAATAATTTAACAAAAAATAATATCAAAAGTGAAGCAAAATGTGAACCGAATTCTCGAATGAAAGGTAAAACTTGTATTTCTTAACGATCGCCGCCTCACAAGTTCCGTCTCGCGGGCAGTATTGACCGCACTTTCCGTAGATATCGATATCGATGTGTTTGCGAAGATTGTTGACATACGTCTCGCGATTGCTAGGAGTGTGACAGTTGGACACAATCCACGCCGCGGAAGCACTCTTGCCGTCAAAGAGATCCTCGTTTTGCCACTTTGTATTACATTTGGTGACCGACCCGTACGGCACGTAAATGTCTGAATCGCGTCTATAATTCATAAACCAGTCGATGTGATTGACGAGATTGTGGACGCGATGGGCCGGTGAATGTTCGGGCGATTCCCAGTTAAAGAGCACCCACTTCTGACCTCTGGCCACAGCCGCTGCAGTCTTTGCGGGCAGTCTGTGTGGATCGGTGTCCCGCCAGTGGAACAATACGGCATCGGCCGACTCCACGAGAGATTTATCTTCGCTGAGAAGACAATTAGAGAATTGACAACCAATTGACTTGAGGTCCAGATGTGACCACTTATCCGATTGGAAGTATTTGGTCCACAATAGGATCCGGTATTGTTTGACATCCGACTGGTTGTTGAGTCCATCGTTTGTGTCTATTTGTCTGGTCTTCAGGCGTTGGTCTTTGATCCGGTCGGTCATCGCTGGTAACGTCGAGATGTGATAATCGGTTGAATTAAGTAAACTCCCATTCAATGTGCAAAATAGAAACACAATTAATATAACGACTATTAAAATATATTTAATTGAATTCATGTCTTCAGAGTTTGAGCGCTTCCTCAGCACCTATTCTTGTGATAGGATTCAAGATATCGAAAGAGTTGTAAAGAAGACTCAAATCAATTATAATGACTGACAAAATAATGAGTATTATGTTAACCAATGATGTTTTTGATCACAATTAGTGATTTAAGTGTTGTAACACTTATGGACTGAAAACTATTGCTATAAAGTTTAGGTTTAGTTACAGTCAGTGCTCTACGAATGGCCACAAGTGCTGCAAATGAATGCATGAAAAGAGGCGAGAAATCACATCAGAGGTTATTTGGACACCAAATATCATGGCCTTGACTTTGGTCCTGCAGAGACCCGGTATTGTCTGGTGCCGTATGAACGGACAATTGGTATACAATAAGTGGTAATGCAGTGATTGTACTGAAGGGCACTTTAATCTTATAGTTAAATGTATAACAAATTTAACAATTTTTTCAAAATATAATTAAACTTTAAAAATATCAGATCTTCTCTACAGTGTAAATAGTTATAAAATAATAACATAATCAATGATAACAATCAACAAGAATTCTCGTACGGCATGAAATTCTTGCCGGTCAAACAGTTGTGTCATGTAATATGGTATATGTAATTAGAAGGTAGGAAAGCCTTTTGGTTGCGTTTAAGGTTTTCGTGCCGTACGAGACGTTTGTAATCAACATAAAAATATATAAAATTATAACAAATAAATCTCAATAAAATGATGAGCGAATGGTGTTTGACATAATCGGTGACACAATCACAGCCACAAGAAGTGGTAACAAATTCATAGAAAGAGTGCAATTATTTTCATAAAACAAATCAAATGCGAAAATCTAAGCGCAAAAGAAAAAGAGCGAAAATGATGTAGTTTTAAAGCCTTTAATTTAAATTTAATGAAACAATAGTATGTTTACAATAAATGTGAAAACTATTTATAAGTAATATTATTAACAAATTCTTATCGAAAGAATGACATAAGCGATGAAACGAAGCTTAAAATCGCCAAAGAATTGAATCAACCGATGGTTGCCTTTGTGTCCAAAGGAGAAGATAATGAAAGTGTTTATAATATCAGATACTTTACAACAGGACAAGAAATACCGCTTTGCGGTCACGCGACTGTCGGCACCACTTATGCCTTATACGCCAATCAGACGACCGCCGGTCGTATCAAACAATTCAATTTTACGACAAAGTCGGGCAGAAAACTGACCGCTAATGTAAGCGACGATAGTTTGGTCACACTTTCGATGCCATCCATACTCTCAACGCGCGTCCATTTGAACGATCGCTGGACTCAAACGCTAATCAAAACTTTGGGCAAAGATGTCGACGAAAGTGTTGTCCACGAAGTCTGCAAATCATCAGACTTTGCGATAATTGTGTTCAAAGATTCGGCGAAAAATCGTTTACTGGAATTAAAGCCAGATTTCGATGCCATGAATAAACTGGAGAGGAATGGCATCAAAAACGGTATAGTAGTCACGCAGAGAGCCGACTACCGGAGCACTGGTTTCCACTTTTATTCGCGCGTATTCTTGCCGTGGGTTGGATTGAATGAAGACCTGGTGTGCGGACACGCGCACACTCAGCTCACACCCTATTGGACGCAACGACTGGCCATCACTGGGCAAACATTGGTCGGTAAACAATGTTCCCGACGGCCAGGTATTGTCCGGTGCCGTATAAATGGCGATTCTGTCGATATAAGCGGCAATGCAGTGGTTGTACTGAAAGGCATTTTAATCTTATAGTTAAATGTATAAATTAACATGTTACATTTTTCAAAAAATAAATAGACTTATCAGATCACGTATAAACATTCAAATTTTAATTAAAGCATAATTTAACAAATTAAAGTTGAGATTTATTTGTTATAATTTTATATATTTTTATGTTGATTACATGTTTAATTATGGTAATTCATAGTTTAACTTTGGTTAATAGCTGAAGTTTCATTATTTTTGCTATTAGTAATTGGTTGAGAATGATTATACAGTATACCCTCGCACATAAAAAGGCGCGAATGCGACATGAGTGCGACCTGTGAAAGTCGCTGCTTATAAAGTTAGTTAATTTATAACATATGTAAAATTTTCAAAAAATAAATAGACTAAAATATCAGATCATGTATAAACAATTAATGTGCAAAATGTAATTAAAGCAGAAATTAATAAATTGAAGTTAAGAGAGAGAGAGAGAGAGAGAGAGAGAGAGAGAGAGATTAAACGAAAAGATGATAGTAAATAAACACAATGAGTATAGCGATGACATTCATTGAGCAAAAAACAATGGGACGAAAACCACTGTTAAACGTGGGTCGCCTGCAATCGCTGCTATCTGTATACCACTCAATCAGATTCGTACGATTCCAGCGGTTGGTCGGCTTCCGAGCGCTGTCTTCATTCAATTTTTGACACAAATTACAGAAATACTCGAAACGAACGAATTGTGAACAATAACTCTTCTTCCACAACATATACGAGTTATACAATTGCTTATCACTTGAGACCAGTTTAAGATATTTGGCCAAATCCTCAGTAGTGTTAAAGTCTTTTACATTTATAAACGAATTGTTTGGCATTATTAGCGAATAGTCGGCCGAACCGTACACTACCTGTCAATCAAATCAATTGAACAAACAATTAATGACAATACATAACCAAAACCATAATTAACTCACAGGTATTATATCATATGAAGCGTATTTAAACAACTTTTCTGTCACATAGTCTTTACATAACTGTTAAACAAAACACAAAATTATCAATAATTTAACAAAAAATTATATCAAAAGTGAAGCAAAAAGTGAACCGAATTCTCGAATGAAAGGAAAAACTTGTATTTCTTAACGATCGCCGAAAGACAAGTGCCGTCTTGCGGACAGTCGTGTTGACCACACTTTCCGAAGATATCGATATCGATGTGTTTGCGAAGATCGTTGACATACGTCTCGCGATTGCAAGGAGTGTGACAGTTGGACACAATCCACGCCACGGAAGCACTCTTGCCGTCAAAGAGATCCTCGTTTTGCCACTTTGTAACACATTTGGTGACCGACCCGTACGGCACGTAAATGTCTGAATCGCGTCTATAATTCATAAACCAGTCGATGTGATTGACGAGACTGTGAACATCGCGTCCACCATGTTCGCCGGCTCGTGAATGTTCGGGCGATTCCCAGTTGAAGAGCACCCACTTCTGACCTCTGGCCACAGCCGCCACAGTCTTTGCGGGCAGTCTCTGTGGATCGGTGTCCCGCCAGTGGAACAATACGGCATCGGCCGACTCCACGAGAGATTGATCTTCGCTGAGAAGACAATTAGAGAATTGACAACCGATTGACTTGTAGTCCAGTTGTGACCAGTCGTCCGTAAAGTAGTATTTGGTCCACAATAGGATCAGGTATTGTCTCGCATTCGACTGGTTGTTGAATCCATCGTTTGTGTCTATTTGTCTGGTCTTCAAGCGTTGGTCTTTGATCCGGTCGGTCATCGCTGGTAACGTCGAGATGTGATAATCGGTTACATTAAGTAAACTCCAATTCAATGTGTATAATAGAAACACAAGTAATATAACGACTATTAAAATATATTTAATTGATTTCATGTCTTCAGGGTTTGAGCGCTTCCTCAGCACCTATTCTTGTGATAGGATTCAAGACATCGAAAGAGTTGTAAATAAGATTTAAATCACTGCTAACTGAATGAGAAAATGAGTATTATGTTAACCAATGATGTTTTTGATCACAATTAGTGATTCAAGTGTTAACACTTATGGATTGAAAACTATTGCTATAAAGTTTATGTTTAGTTACAGTCAATGCTCTACGAATGGCCACAAGTGCTGGAAATAAATGCATGAAAACAGGCGTGAATTGAATGGACACCAAATATTATGGCATTCACTTTGGTCTCGCAGAGACCCGGTATTGTCCGGTGCCGTATGAATGGACAAATGGTATATATTAAGTGGTAATGCAGTGGTTGTACTGAAGGCCACTTTAATCTTATAAACAGGGACAGCCAGGTTACATATTTTTAGTCAATAGGACGTATTGTAATGTTTAATTATGGTAATTCATAGTTTAACTTTGGTTAATAGCTGAAGTTTCATTATTTTTGCTATTAGTAATTGGTTGAG